AATAGGATTAATAAATAAGAGATTCTGTATGATAGTTGCAAATGATCCAACAATAAAAGGGGGAACATATTATCCAATAACAGTGAAAAAACATGTTCGAGCATAAGAAATAGCATGGGAGAATAAATTACCTTGTGTTTATTTAGTAGATTCTGGAGGTGCAAAGTAATTATATATGTAAATAATCAAGTTTAATGCTTTAAGATGAAGTATTTCCTGATAGAGATCATTTTGGAAGAATATTTTATAATTAAGCTAATATGTCAGCATAAGGGATTCCTTAAATTAGTATAGTACTTGGATCATGTACAGCTGGAGGAGCATAGTAATAATATAGTTATATATGATTTTTTAAGTGTTCCTGCTATGAGTGATGAGAATGTTATTGTAAGTGGAAATGGTACAATCTTTTTAGGAGGTCCTCCTTTAGTAAAAGCAGCCACAGGTGAAAAAGTAACAGCAGAAGATTTAGGAGGAGCAAGAGTTCATTGTTTTACTAGTGGATTGACAGATCATTTCTGTAGTTCAGAATTAGAAGCTTTATAAAAAGGTAGATCTATAATTAAGAATTTAAATACAAAATAAGTAGGTAATATTATTGATGATTAACCTATTTATGATATTGAAGATTTAAATTATATGATGAGTAGTGATCTCAAACAGTCTATGGATAGTAGACATTTAATTGCAAGAATTCTAGATGGATCTAGATTTATGGAATTTAAAGAATATTATGGTACTACTCTTATTACAGGATTTGGAGAATTATATGGATAAGAAGTAGGTATCATAGCTAATAATGGAATTCTTTTTAGTGAATCAGCATTAAAAGGTGCTCATTTTGTTAGTTTATGTTAATAAAGAGGAGTTCCATTAATTTTCTTATAAAATATTACAGGATTTATGGTTGGTCGTAAATATGAGACAGAAGGTATAGCTAAACATGGAGCTAAAATGGTTAATGCTGTTGCTACTGCTACAGTTCCTAAACTTACTTTGATTTTTGGTGGTAGTTTTGGAGCTGGTAATTATGGTATGTGTGGTAGAGCTTATGGAGCTAAGTTCTTATTCTCTTGGCCTAGTAGTAGAATCTCAGTTATGGGTGGTGATTAAGTAATCATAATTTAATCTTAATATTTAGGCTGCTGGAGTCTTAACTTCTGTTCAATAATCAACGATAATTAGAAATGGAGAAGAATGGAATGAAAAAGTTGAAAAAGATTTAAAGGCTAAATATTCCTAAAAATATGATCAAGAATCTAGTGCTTATTATGCAACTGCTCGTTTATGGGATGATGGAATTATTTTACCAACATAAACTAGATAAACTTTAGGCTTGGCACTTTTAACTAGTATGTAACATTACAATTACGAAAGAACACCTCATGGGGTTTTTAGAATGTGAATATATAGAATATTTTTAAATAATTTATAAAAATGGAACGAAAACTTTATTTCGGACTCCAAGAACAAATTTAAAACAAATAGTATCGCTATCCAACAAATTTCATCAAAACTAGCAGGTATTTTAATTACTTAAATAGGTACAATTTCATTACATTTCTTCCCTATTCATTAACATTGTAATTCTAAAGAATGGCAAATATTTATTTTCTTATCATAGCTATATTGTCATTCTTTAAATCTATATCCCCATTTAGTCCAATCTCCTCAATTGCACCATTAATTTTTGTGGTATCCTTATCAATGTTAAGAGATGGATATGAAGATTACTAAAAGCATATAAGCGATAATGAATTGAACTCATCACCTGCTACAATTTGGACAGAATAAGGTTTTGTAAAAAAAACATGGAAAGATGTGCTTATTGGAGATATCCTTAAAATTGATGAATTAGAAATCATTTCCTCAGATATTGTTGTTTTATAAACCTCTCAAGATGGTATATGTTTCATAGAAACATCTTCTCTAGATGGAGAAAAGAATCTCAAACCTAAATAGGCAATAAAAGAAACTTAAACAATTGAATGCAGATCTGGCATTATTGAATGTATAAATCCCAATCCTCTTCTTTATACATTTGATGGCACCTTATATTTAGATTCCAAAAAAATCTAAATCACTCATAAAAACTTCTTATTAAGAGGATCTAAATTAAAAAATGTAAAATATGTGATTGGTGTTGTTGTTTACACAGGAATTGATACTAAAGTCATGAGAAATTCTGAAGGTCAAAAAAATAAAGTAAGTAACATAGACAAGCTCATCAATATAAGAATAATATTCATTTTAATTATGCAAACAGTTATTTGTATTGTTTTAGCATTTGTGTATGGCATTAATTGTGATATTAAAAGTGCAAATTTTAACTATTTTAGTAGAAACTTTGCAGGATATCAATCTTTTAATGGTTAGGATCAAATTTATGATCCTGATATCCCTCATTGTTTTTTGGCATCTTTAATGACTTTTGCTGCTTATTTCTTACTCTTAAATACATTAATTCCCATCAGTTTAATTGTTTCTTTAGAATTCGTTAAAGTTGGATAAGGATTTTTCATGTAAAAAGATGCAGAAATGTATTCAGCTGAAAATGATAAATATGTTAAAGTATTTAGTACAACTATTAATGAAGAACTTGGTTAAGTTTAATATATTTTTTCTGATAAAACAGGAACTTTAACTTGTAATAAAATGGAGTTTAAATTGTGTGTTTGTGGAGATTCTGTTTATGGTGATGTCACAATGTTTAATAAATAAGAAATAACTACTTTTGTTGGAAATTAAATTTTAAGAAGATAAAGCACACTATATAGAAGAAGATCAACTGTAGTAAATGCAAAGGCTGGAATTGAATATGATTTTTCAGGAGATAAAATTTTATAAATTATAACAGAAAAAGATCCATCTAAAAATCCAAATATTGATTTTATGGTTGATAAATATGCCATTCATAATTAAGGAGATTTAGTTAAGGAAAACTTGATGCTTTTAGCAACTTGTCATGAATGTGTTTTGGAATATTAAGATGATGGATCATTTATCTATTAAGGGCCATCTCCAGATGAAATTGCACTTGTTGATGCTGCCAGAAGACTTAAGGTCATTTATAAGGGTATAACAATGGGTATAATGGAGATTGAAGTTTTAGGTGAAATTTAAAAAGTTGAACTTCTATTTGCATTTGAATTTAATAGTGATAGAAAGAGAATGTCTGTCATAATTAGATAGAATGGAGTAATAAAACTTTATACTAAAGGAGCAGATGCTATAATTAAAGCTAGATTATCTCCAAATTAAAAATATTTAGATGGAATAGATTAAAAATTAGATATGTTTTCAAAAAAAGGACTTAGAACTTTATGTTTAGCTATGCGTATTCTTAGTGAAGAGTAATTTAATCAGTTTTCAAAGGCTATGAATGATACTTTAGGAAGTGGAGACACAGAGAAACTTTAAGAGGAACTCATTAATTAAATTGAAAAAAATTTAACGCTAATAGGAGCAACAGCTGTAGAAGATAAATTACAAGAGGATGTTCCAGAAACGTTAGCTGATTTTTTAAAAGCTAATATAAATGTTTGGATGCTTACAGGAGATAAATTAGAAACTGCAGAAAATATAGGAAGATCCTGTAATCTATTATAAGATAATATGGATGTATTTACTTTAACACCAGGTTGTGAAACAATTAAAATTTTTAATGATATAGCAGATCACATAGTAAATAATTATTCAACTAAAAGAGCTATTATAATTGAAGGTATAGTTTTAGCAACTTTAATTGATGATTAAAATTTAATGAATTATTTAATATCATTAGTTCCATTTTTACATACAGTAATTTGCTGTAGAGTTACTCCTAAATAAAAAGCTGATATGGTAAGATTGGTCAAAAATTCATTAGGCAAAATAACATTAGCAGTTGGTGATGGTGCAAATGATGTTAACATGATTTAAGAAGCTCATATTGGTATTGGAATTTATGGATAAGAAGGAATGAGAGCTGTTTAAGCTAGTAATTACGCAATAGGATAATTTAAATGTCTTTGGAAATTAGTATTATATCATGGACGTTAAAACTATATTCGTATTTCTGAAATGATTTTGTACTTCTTTTACAAAAACATCATTTTTACTATCCCATAATTTTATTTTGCATTCTTCTGTGGACATACTGGAACTAGTGTTTTTGATTAATTGTAAATTTTATTATAATCTTAGTTTTGTATCCTTTTACAATACAGTATTCACATTTTTACCTGTTGTGATTAGAGCAATCTTTGATGAAGATGTTTTTTATACATCTAAAAGAAAATAAACTATTTTGGGAAGTAGAAGAATTAAAGAAGGAGAAGAAGAAAATGATATTCTTAGACAAAACTATCCTCTTCTTTATTACATAGGATAAAGAAATACAGTATTTACTAATGAAAAGTAATCAATTATTTCTTAATTAGATTCTTTAAATGGTTTTTTATAGGAGTATTTTAAGGATTAGCATGCTTTTTCTCTTTTTATTTAGAATTAAATGATACAACATTTATCAAAAAAACAGGATTAAACAACGATTTTTGGTTTTTCAGCATGTCAATGTCTACTGCTATTATGATTGTAAACTAAATCTTTATAATCAGCTTGTAACTTTAAAATTAGCCTTGAATACTTAATTTTGGACATTAATCACTTGGTTTGCATATATTGGAACGAGTTTAGGCACCTATTTTGCTTATATGTTGGTCTCAAATATTATTCCTTAATCATCAATCTATGGTACTACAAGAATGTTATTTTCCAGTCCTGCATTTTATTTAAGTCTTGCTTTATCTGTTCTTTCAATGTTTATTCTTGATTTATTAATTTTCACAATGAAGGTTTCAAAAGATACTCTTTTAAATTATATGAAAAGATAAGCAAGATCATCCCAAAATTTAGAATTATCTAAAATTAAAAAATTATAAAAAAAAAATGATGAAAATAATGAATTAGAAATGCCTATTTAAAGGTTGTAGTAATAAAAGAGTCTTATTAATTCTAGCTTTAGCGGAAGTTAACCTATTATAGCAAGAAATAGAGAAAATTCAAATTTCTATTTATGATTTAATTTAATAAAATATATATAATATGTAATATCTTTATTTAATTTTCTAAAAATATTATTCTAACTTGCTTTAAATTTTATGAACAATTTAGATATTTTAAAATTCTTCATAAATCACCTATCAGCATCAAAATATCAAATAACTTTTATTTTTTAAAATTAGCAATTTATACTATTATTTTTATTACATATAATATTTTGATATAATTCTCTGGTTTCTTGCTTCTGAACATTAGCATCAGTATAAACTGAAATTAAAGAAAAAATTAATAAAATTCGTTTATTGTAATAAGGGAACATAGAGCAAATATGAAATTTGAATTTAATTTTGACTATTTAATAGCTTTAAATAGTTTTGATATTCTCATTTAATAGATTAAATTAATATTAACCTTAAATATCAAATTAAAACTTAATGTTATATAAAATTTTAGACTTTAAAAAGAGCGGTAATATTAAATATACATTAAAGGACCTTTTTTACTAAGATTATTACTTTCTTGTTTAAATATTTATATAATTTAATGATTGTGTTTTTTAAATAAATAAATAAAAAGAAATAAAATATAGTTTTTAAAAAAATGAGCTTGAGACGGATGAGAAGTGGAGGTGTGCATGCAGATTCAGAATTAGATTTTTTAAATGTATTGATATGATATATTAATTTTACTAGAAAATTACTAAATTGGAAAAATAATAAAAAAGAAGAACTTACATAGAAGAAACTGAAACTTTAGAAGGTTTTATAATGAATTCTCAATTTACTTTTGATTGCTTCGGAGGAAATCAAATGTTAAAGGCTACTTAATAATCTCATTTTATTCTAATTATGATTGATGATTTTGCTCTTAGTCCAAAGAGATTATAAAATATGATTGAAAACAGTATGTTCTTTTTGTTTATATATTTTAACAGATAATTGTGAAACACTGACATAAAGCACAAATGATGATTCATTTGTTTGGAGCTCTTAACCTATGAATTATGACTGCTTAGTACACAATTAAACAGTAGAACATATCAATCATTTATTTAATATATGGATAATTAATACTCCTGTTATGAATGAAACATTTAAATGTATTAATTGCTATTCATTATTTCTTAAGAGTGCTATTTTCAATTTTTCGAAGCATTTATTTGTGTAAATAGTGAAAAAAATGAAATATTCAAAGAGGTTTACAAGGAAATGAGATATTATAATAATAAAGTTTAGTAATTTCATATAAAAGAAAATGATGAAGTAATATAATTTTAGATTAAATAGGTTTCACCAGATCGTTAATAAATTAATAATTTTTAATAAATTCTTAAAACTTTGATTTATTCGACAACGAAATGATGAAAGTTTATTATGATAACAGATTTTTTGTTTATTGTTTAAGTTAAATATTTAAAACTATAAATTTATATCAGAATATTACCGAAATTGATTATATATACTAAAAATTATTTATTTAAATAAAAAAATGGCAGATCAATAATAAGCTGAATATTTGAACTTAAAAGTTAAATCTCAAGATGGAGAGGAAGTATTCTTCAAGATCAAAAAATAAACTCAATTCAAGAAATTGATGGATGCTTATTGCTCAAGATAAAATGTATGTATTGAAGTAAATATTTAGCTTCAAATTTAAAATGTGAGATTCTTATTTGATGGAGAAAGAATATTAGAAACATAAACTCCAGCTGATGTAAAAGATATAGAATATATTATAGATTGGTATGGAGACAGGAGATGAAATTGATGTTGTTATAGAGTAAGTAGGGGGCATGAAATATGTGTGAATAAAAAAATAATTATTTTATAATATATAATTTTTATGCTTGTTTTTTTAATGTTGTTAGGTATTGCTTTTTGCGAAAGTGATGTTAAATTATACAGCAAATATGACTCTTTGTTGTAAGATAAGTTGTTAGTATTAAAAATATAATACATTAGATTGTTACTAAAAATGGGCTGATTTACAAGTATGACCTAAAGTATCAACAAATTAGATGGAGATCAGAACTTGGTATATCACTCTAATCAGATGGTATATAAAATGGAACTTACTTTATGAAACCTTATAAAGATGGTTCATTTCTATTTTATGATGATGGATTCTATGTAATAAGATTATTTAAGTTAGGAAATACCTTCAGAAGATTTAGATATACTTTTTAAGACTTGCAGTATGTTTTAAAACTCATTATCTTATAATAATGAGTTAATGTATTTCTTAGATATAGCTACAGGAAACATAAAAGAGCTGACATAATATGACATTTAATAGCTATTAGGTTAACCTAAAATGTACGAAAAGGGAGTGCTAATTCATGTTAAATAGAAGTTTATTTCAGACTTAGAATATGAAGACTCTTAACAACATAATTCTAGAATATAAATTAATTTTTTACTTAAATACTTACGTGGCGATTTAACTTAAGCAAAATATTCTAATACTACTTTAATCTACAAAACTAACACAGGAATATAAATTTAATGGGCTAATAAAACACTTGATCTACATTTAGATGATGATGTATTTGAAGTATTTGAGTATACACCTGATTTAGGATTGTATTCCATTATTTTTACTAAAGATAACACAAAGAGTACTGGTTTAACTGTGATGTCTATAATTAACAATCAATATTAATGTGAAATTGAGGGATAATGTTAATTAAATTCACATATTAATCCTAATCCAAACGCTATTGGTGTTTTTAAAAATACTCAATTTAAGCAATGCTTAAATGAATTCTATAAAATTAAATTTTAAACATAGTTAGTATTATATAAAGATGAAAAATCTTAAGAAAAGATTGAATAATGTTAGGTTGTTGAAAATTACACAAATCAATTTTTAACTATTTTACTATTATCAATGGTGTTTGCATATATTCCTATACTTTCCTCTAAAAAAAAAAAACCAAAAGAAGTTGTTATAGTCAAAGAACCTTAAGTGCAATATATATATATAAAGTCTAAAGAAATACAAATTAACAAAGAACGTATTATAGGAATTGGAATGAATGGAACTATTGTTTATGAAGGCATTTTTCAAGGTAAAAATGTAGCTGTGAAAGAAATTAATCTTAAAAAACTATAAACCAAATCTATTGAAAAATAACTTGAAGAATAAATATCTAAATAAATGCTTTTAAATTCTCCTTAAATTCTTAAACTATTTTTTTTTGAGAAAAGAAAAGATTTTCTATATTTAGCTATGGAAAAATGTATGCTTAATCTGAGAGAATTTGTTAAATATGAGTCAAGTTATAAATTAAACGATGCTTAAAAATTAAGCATTAAATAAAATTTATAAGATCCAGAGTTTTATAAGGATCTCTTCTTTGATCTATTGTGTGCTTTACAGACTTTAATTGAAAATAATACATAACATCACGGTATTACACCTGATAATTTATTATTCAGTTATGATCTAAAAATAAAATTAGCTGATTTTGGGCTTTCATCTCTGTCAGAATACTATTAAGAAAATTAAAATGATAAAAAAACATACAAAAAAATGAATTATTCACTTTTATAATAATTGGGTATGATTTGCTATTTCTTACTATCCAGAGGTGATGATTGTTCATAGAAGTAATTAATTTTCTTGTAATATTTAGATAACTTATTGATTTGAAATTTTTGGTGGAAAGATTTAAAAAATTCAATATCAAGGAATTGGAAATTAAAGATTTATTATTGAAACTTATTTTAGATTAATCAATAACAGATCCCTAAGCTGTTTTATAACACCCTTATTTTTGGACTAAATAAAAAAAACTATCATTTATTTGTGAATTTAGTGATTACGTCGAAACGTATCCTTTACCTTTGGATTAGACTTCAATTCATGATAGATTTATAAATAATTCAGTTTTTAAAGATAATTGGGGAATAAGATGTGGAATGATACTGAAATGTTAAATTAGAGGATATGATCAGACATAAGCTTAATAACTTATTAGAGTAAGTTAAATATATATGTTAGCTCATTAGAAATACAAAGAATCATTATCACTAACTTACTGAAGATTGTAAACTACTTTTAGGACCTTCTGATGAAACCTGTTTTGATTATTGGAATTAACAATTCCCAAATCTATTTTTTACGCTCTATGAACATGCAATTGAAAATAGCCTCAATCTATTAAGTTTAAAATGAATATCTACTGGATTTTAGATCTACTTATATAATAATATGCATCATTTCAATTAATTATTATTACTTTTATAATTTGATCTTATATACATAATGGATTCATCTAAACCTCTTATCCTTATCAGTTTAAATACTTGTACTCTTTTAATTTAGAAGAGTGATTTTCATTTTTATAAATATTATCCCATCTCTCAATTTTTTATAATATTTCATATCAAAATCATTTATTTCGGATATTTTAATTGTTTATATCATAAAAATTGATCAAGTCCATTTCTTTATTAAGATTTTTTAACTTTAACTATTTTTTATATATTAAATAAAAATAAATCATCTAAGTATTTTTAAAAAAATTAAATAATCACAACCTTTGTGGTATCTGAATATATTGAATATATGTAATATATCATAATTATATTTTGTTTATATCATAAAAATTCATCAAATTGATTTCTTCATCCGTAATTTCAATTTTTCCAAATTTTTACCGCTCTTAAAGAGAAAGAATTTGTACATCTTCATCATTTAATGTCATTTCTTCAATTTCCTTAGAAGGGCAATAGAATGAATCAACGACTCCGCTCGATGATTTGAGATTTTCTAATTTTAATCCTACAAGATGACATTTTTTAATCTCATCTTAAAATTTATGAGCTCTTATTAAAAGATAAAGTCTGGAAATTTCATAAAACATATTAATAAAAGTTAGTTTTTATTCAATTTTTTATTTTATATTTCTATAGAATTCTAGGTATTTATTTAATTCAAGTTATTGATTATGTAAGACCACTTTAACAGTATCTCTCTTCCAATTTTTATAAATCTTAAGTTAAGAAAATTAAGGATAATAAAAAGATATCATATCATGTACTATTTTTTCATTTAAATAATAAGAATTTAAAAAAAGTATAACGTGCCGAAACAAAAACAAAACTGAAATAATTGAACCAATATTTGCTAATAATTCCCCTGGGTTTGGATATTCATAAATGGTTTTAATTTAATTTCCTTTCATTACTATATATAGTGATGCATATGTTTCATCTCCATATGCTTATTTGCAATATTAAACTGTATTTGTTTATGGCTAAATTAAAGCTTCATTAACAAATTCATAATATTTTGGAGATCCGAAAAGAAATGAATCTTAGACTTCATAAAAACTACTTTATAAGAAAGTATTTAAAGTATAGCAATTTTGTTTTTCCACTTAAACAAAAAATTCTTAAATACTTGATTAAATAGATCCATCTTTAGAATTTAACTGTTTGTATTAAACCTGCATTATAATAATATTTTGTGGTTAACTAAAAAATTAATTACTAATCTCCTCAGATGCACATTATTCTCCATCTTTTAACAGTTTAGTTGTGCATTTTACTATTTATATATACATTTCAGATGTTGTTATTAATTAACCATTAACATCTGTAAAACCTAATTTCATTTATGGAATTATGAATTTGTTTCCATAATAGGATGTTTAATTAGATAAGTCTAACACTTTAGTTTCAGTAAATTTATAGTTTTCTGTATAAATAATTAATGGAAGTAAAACCTTAGCTTCAAAAGGATCAATTAAATTTTCTTCATATTTGTAAAAACAAATTTTTATAACATCATAGTTCAAATTTAGTAATTTAAAGTTTGAAATATAGACAGAGCTAGAAATTTTAGGGCTATATTAATTTGTTTACCATTTATAAACAACCCAAATAGCATAAGAGAGACTGGCTGAACAAATTAACAATGTCATAATCCCTCCAAAAATGCTTTTATAAATTGATTACTATCTATCAATTTATTAGACTAAGGGAGCTCCAAAAAAATCTATTGATCTTAAATATGAAATAAAAGTACTCATTATTATAATTTAATATTTTTTGGAGAAATAAATCAAATATATTTATNTCATTTAATGTCATTTCTTCAATTTCCTTAGAAGGGCAATAGAATGAATCAACGACTCCGCTCGATGATTTGAGATTTTCTAATTTTAATCCTACAAGATGACATTTTTTAATCTCATCTTAAAATTTATGAGCTCTTATTAAAAGATAAAGTCTGGAAATTTCATAAAACATATTAATAAAAGTTAGTTTTTATTCAATTTTTTATTTTATATTTCTATAGAATTCTAGGTATTTATTTAATTCAAGTTATTGATTATGTAAGACCACTTTAACAGTATCTCTCTTCCAATTTTTATAAATCTTAAGTTAAGAAAATTAAGGATAATAAAAAGATATCATATCATGTACTATTTTTTCATTTAAATAATAAGAATTTAAAAAAAGTATAACGTGCCGAAACAAAAACAAAACTGAAATAATTGAACCAATATTTGCTAATAATTCCCCTGGGTTTGGATATTCATAAATGGTTTTAATTTAATTTCCTTTCATTACTATATATAGTGATGCATATGTTTCATCTCCATATGCTTATTTGCAATATTAAACTGTATTTGTTTATGGCTAAATTAAAGCTTCATTAACAAATTCATAATATTTTGGAGATCCGAAAAGAAATGAATCTTAGACTTCATAAAAACTACTTTATAAGAAAGTATTTAAAGTATAGCAATTTTGTTTTTCCACTTAAACAAAAAATTCTTAAATACTTGATTAAATAGATCCATCTTTAGAATTTAACTGTTTGTATTAAACCTGCATTATAATAATATTTTGTGGTTAACTAAAAAATTAATTACTAATCTCCTCAGATGCACATTATTCTCCATCTTTTAACAGTTTAGTTGTGCATTTTACTATTTATATATACATTTCAGATGTTGTTATTAATTAACCATTAACATCTGTAAAACCTAATTTCATTTATGGAATTATGAATTTGTTTCCATAATAGGATGTTTAATTAGATAAGTCTAACACTTTAGTTTCAGTAAATTTATAGTTTTCTGTATAAATAATTAATGGAAGTAAAACCTTAGCTTCAAAAGGATCAATTAAATTTTCTTCATATTTGTAAAAACAAATTTTTATAACATCATAGTTCAAATTTAGTAATTTAAAGTTTGAAATATAGACAGAGCTAGAAATTTTAGGGCTATATTAATTTGTTTACCATTTATAAACAACCCAAATAGCATAAGAGAGACTGGCTGAACAAATTAACAATGTCATAATCCCTCCAAAAATGCTTTTATAAATTGATTACTATCTATCAATTTATTAGACTAAGGGAGCTCCAAAAAAATCTATTGATCTTAAATATGAAATAAAAGTACTCATTATTATAATTTAATATTTTTTGGAGAAATAAATCAAATATATTTATATATTTTATTTTATACAAGTTATAGTTGAAAATTTCTACCGTTCTGAGTTATTGTCTTAGCTCTTCTTTGATAAATTAAACATAAAAGCATTAGCAAATACTATTTTTAATATTTTTCTTAATATATACTAAAAACTACAAATTTATTTTTATAGAATTGTATATTA